GGATGGGAAAATGAGGGGGAAGAATGGGAAGGTGAGGGGGAGGGATGAGGCATTGAGGGATTGGAAGTTAATGGGTAGGGATGGAGAAGTGAGGAGGAGGATGTGGAGGTGAGAGGGAGGAATGGGAAGGTGAAGGGCAAGGAATGGGGAGGTGAGAAGAAGGGATGGTAAGTTGAGGAGGTGGGTGTGAACGAGAGGGAGGGATGGGAAGATAAGGGGAAGGGATGGGAAGGTAGGGAGGTGGGATGGGGAGGTGATGAGGGAGGACTGGAAAGGTGAAGGGGTAGGATGGCAAGGTGGGAAATGAGGAACGAGCAGAAAGTTGGTCATGGTGACAGTGCAGAGGGTGCAGCACCAAGACAAGTTAATTCAACATTGGGACTTGCTGTGAAGAGATTGCTCTGATGATGTATGGTGAGCAATCTGCAGAAACTGGCTCAAAAATAATACTTTCATTATCCCACAGGAAATGATAACCAATGGGCAACGAAGAAAACGCCAATTCTGGAAATCCTGGAAGAAAATGAAGATCTACTGATATAACTATCTCATGAAACAAGAACTGGAGCAACATCACTGCAGGCAGATTCTAATCCCTACTGGGAGCTCTCCATAATGTCAGACATGGTTTATGAGCCTACTGCTGTTAACATTTGTGATTTGATGAATAATTTATTGTGAACCTAAGTCACTTTAGTAAATTAATCAAAAACTCTCTTTATTCTACCAGTGAATCATTTGCATTAAGTCAATCCAACAAACAGTTAACAAAAATAGCAAGGCTTGACTTGTTTTTGGTTTATGATGACTGCCATCCAGCTCACATCACCTCCCTGCGGAGGGTCACTCTGTGCCAGTCAGCAGTGGAAACCCTAGCCGTTCCTGTCCTTCACCAGCAGAGAAGAACCAATCACAGCACCATTGCTACTTTACATTTTGAGATACTGCCTAATGATTATGAGGAGAATGCAAGTGACATATTGACTGAAAATCATACTGTAGAACAAACAGATGGCAGATTAAATTCATAAAGAAACACATGGCCTTTAATTTTGCACTCTGGCCACCTTGTCCAATTCATACTCACAAAGTTTAGGAGTAGACATATTTACAGTTAAGCATTTAATCTTGATTGTTTCGTACTTAAGTTGTTGATAGTAGAATAATTTATTTACCCCAATCCATTTGCATTTTTGTGAGCATGCTTGTTTTGCAAAATATCCACAATCCCCACCCTCATTTCTAAGGGTTAATGAAATAAACCCTATTTCTGGTTTAACATTGCAGCAGTGGTCTTTACTGACCCTAGCATTTACTTTCTAGCTTACAATCCAAAATTGGGCTTTGGTTTAGACTGCAACTGTTTTGAATACAAACATGGTGCACCATAGCACAACTGACAAGGAACTGAACTGGACCAGCCATAAAAATATTGTAGCTACAAGAGCAGGTCTCAGTATGTGAATTATATGGTGAGTTACTCACCTCCTGTCTCCCCACATTCTGTCCACCATCTACAAGGAACTTTTCAGGGATGTGATGGAATTCTAAAATACTCTCCACTTGCCTGGATGATGTGGCTCAAAATGCACAACAGCATCAATATCTGTTCTGAGGAAGGGTCACTGGACCCGAAAAGTTAATTCTGTTTTTTCCTTCACATATGCTGCCAGACCTGCTGAGCTTTTCCAACAACTTTGTTTTTGCATCAATATCAAAGCAGCCTGCTTTCTTTGATAGCACCTTCCAAACCCACAACCATACTGAAGGACAAAAGGTAGTAGATGAATGGGAACACCACCACTTGCAAGCTCCCCTCAAAGCCACACACCACCCTGACTTGGAACAATATTGCAATTCTTTTGTTGCTCACTGAGTTAAAATACTGGTTCTTCACTCCTAACAGTATTGTGGGTGGACCTGCATCAAATGTGCTAAGCGGTTCAAGAAGATAACTCACCAGCATCTTCACAAGGGCAACTAGGAACAGATACCAAAAGCTGGTTTTGCCTACGAAACTGACACTAACCTCCCAATTTAGGAATGTGGACTAGTAGGGTGAAAATCTCCTTTCTGTCTTCCCTAGGAGGACTTCTTCCCTGATAAAATAATCTTGGGGTCATCTCAATGAAATGCCTATTGATCAATTTGCCTAAAATTCAGAGACCTAACACTATCATGTGGAGAAGGGACAAGAATGGGTAAAATGGTGTTATGGACAGATTGTGAGTTTTAAAATGTGTCTCTCTCACAATTCTCACACATCTGCCCATAAGTGGAGGGAGATTCAATTTTTAAAACAGTGGTGGTATATTTTACTACTCCCTCTGTTCGCTGACTCTCAGCACTGCGACAACACCATTGTATAAGCTGAAGCAGAAGAAGGGTTATTTCTGACACTCTTAAATGTGGGAGTTGGGACCGTGGAAAACTTTGCAACATTTGGACACTCGCAAACCTACAAAGAGGGATCGAGTCAAAGAGATCATTAAATGTGCACCAATTTAAGTCCAGAACAACTGAGAGATACCAGTTGATCAATGTTCTTGCTTTTAAGATGGAGTCTAAAAGTCCAGAGTCTGGGATTCCTTTGTGAGAATGGTTGATGAGCGAGACAGCAGTTCAGGAGTCATAGACTGTCTCTTCTCATTAAAATTCCTTTGACAGTTGTCTGAGCAATATTGCTCAAGCGTAACTTCTGCCTCACTGTTTTATGGAAAAGATGTCGATTACTTGCGGAGATACAAACTGCAGTGTGATGGCTGCCTTTCACAGATCACTGGTTTTTCATTTGTAGCCCATGGCTTGATGTTGGATGAAGCAACCCCTTCAAATAATCTCAAAACTGCAAGATTAAAAGGCAGAGATAGTAGGAACTGCAGATGCAGTTGGGTTCAGCACCATGAGAACTGTGCGGAGGTCGAGAACGCCCTCAACCGTGTCTCCCACATCTCCCGCACCTCATCCCTCACACCCCGTCCACGCAATAAAAACCAAAAAAGAATCCCCCTCGTCCTCACGTACCACCCCACCAACCTCCGGATCCAACGCATCATCCTCCGACACTTCCGCCATCTGCAATCCGACCCCACCACCAAAGACATCTTTCCCTCCCCACCTTTATCTGCTTTCCGGAGGGACCACTCTCTCCGTGACTCCCTTGTCCGCTCCACACTCCCCTCCAGCTCCACCACACCCGGCACTTTTCCCTGCAACCGCAGGAAGTGCTACACCTGCCCCCATACCTCCTCCCTCACCCCCATCCCAGGCCCCAAGAAGACTTTCCACATCAAGCAGATGTTCACCTGCACATCTGCCAATGTGGTATACTGCATCCGCTGTACCCGGTGTGGCTTCCTCTACATCGGGGAAACCAAGCGGAGACTCGGGGACCGCTTTGCAGAACACTTACGCTCGGTTCGCAACAAACAACTGCACCTCCCAGTCGCGAACCATTTCAACTCCCCCTCCCATTCCTCAGACGACATGTCCATCCTGGGCCTCCTGCAGTGCCACAACGATGCCACCCGAAGGTTGCAGGAACAGCAACTCATATTCCGCTTGGGAACCCTGCAGCCCAATGGTATCAATGTGGATTTCACAAGTTTCAAAATCTCCCCTCCCCCCACCGCATCCCAAAACCAGTCCAACTCGTCCCTGCCTCCCTAACCTGTTCTTCCTCCCACCTATCCCCTCCTCCCACCTCAAGCCGCACCTCCATCTCCTACCGACCAACCTCATCCCGCCCCCTTGACCTGTCCGTCCTCCCTGGACTGACCTATCCCCTTCCTAACTCCCTACCTACACTCACCTTTCCTGGCCCCATCCCCGCCTCTTCGACCTGTTTGTTTCCTCTCCACCTATCCTCTCCTCTATCCCTCTTCTATCCGCCTCCCACTCTCTCCCTATTTATTTCAAAACCCCCTTCCCCTCCCCCTTTTCTGATGAAGGGTCTAGGCCCGAAACGTCAGCCTCTCTGCTCCTATGATGCTGCTTGGCCTGCTGTGTTCATCCAGCCCTGCACCTTGTTGTCTCGGATTCTCCAGCATCTGCAGTTCCTACTATCTCTGACCAAATCTCCTGCCTCCTTCGAGTGGATTGGAGATAAGGGTTTGCATTGCTGATAGCCAATTTTCTATGGCCCTTCTCAGCCATTAAGTGGAAAGTCATTAACGTTTTCTTCCAGGATAACATAGCGTGTAATTCTATCGTATACAATTTTGTTTCTTGGAGACAATTGGTCTCAGTGATAGGTTATAACGTAATAGCTAGCATTCCAGTCCTTTCAGGAGGTACATGAGACATTGATTATCCAGTTAACTTTGATTTCTGAAGAAGCTTCCAGATGTATACTACCAGGTCCAATCACATGATTTTAACAGCCATCTTTGGTTAGCTGTTTGATATGTTTTTGACTAAATATACTAAATGGGTTGGGCCGAAGGGCCTGTTTCCATGCTTATAATGCTAAATCTAAACATACATAGATTATGGGAGTTTATAAAATAATGAAG